TCATAATTTTAAACTGAATTGCACTCAAGAAAATTCTACAAAATTAAAAGTTATCATATTTTCTCACAAAGTTAAGGACATATTTTTGAAGGTAAACAATCATAGGTATCTCTGGATTACGAAATTATTCAGTTACATGAATCAGTTAAAAACTTGGGTATTTTTCTTGGCCATTAAGAGTTGTTTTTCAGTACTTCGTCAGTTATGCCTCAATAAACAAATTTTAAAGTACAGAACTAATAAAACTCTATGCGAATCCTTGATCGTTTCAAAAATCGTTGTTTATTTTTTGTTTATATTGCTTACCATTTATTTTCAGATTCTGTACCTATAAAACGCATACAAAAAATTGAAGAGATTTGCTGTAGATTAGTAGATAGCTTGAAAAAGTACGACCATATTTGTTACAAAATTATATAAATATGGTTTTATGTTCATAAATTACATCATTTCCTTTATTTTAAGGAAAATCTAATAAATCGTATGAGTTGCACTATGCCTATAAACAGAACTTCATTTTCCAATAAAGGCCTCACGTTTAATGCGATCTATGTAGTTCATTACCACCTGAAATTAAATATTTGACATTTATTTTGATAACTTTAAAAACATGTTCTGCATGAATCTGCTTTTAAAGTGCGAAAATTAAAAATACTGATATTTCACTTCAGCTAATAAAAATAGTATTTATTCATTTATCAGAGTAATTACATTTAGTATGTATAATAAATACTTTTGTTGCATTATCATTCTTGTTGTTATTTATCGATCGGGGTTTCACATCCTGATCGTTTTTGAAAAAAATGTTAGAGGGAGTGGAAGTTGTAGGTGAGTGGGGAGTGTGTGTGTGTGAATTTATTGATGTTAGGAAATTTATACGTTCCCAGCCTTGGTAATTCTACGCATCTATTAGACATCATAGATTTCTCCGTATGTTAGCCCTTTAAACTTAAGAAAATCCTCAGCAGAAGGACCGCGTACCTAGCGTCCGCGGCCGCTGCTCCCTGCCCGTGTTCTGTTGCTGTAGCATGGCGCTGCCACGTTTGACCGGGTTAAGTATCGGGGAGAGGTGACGTTTCGATATGCACTACCGGTAGGGAAGGAAATAATGTCATGGACTAATTGTATGCACCTGTTTGATTTACTTCTTTCTCAGAGGGTCTAGTTTGTGCTAAGGATAATCCTTTTTCGATTGATAACGGCATTATGTGGTGAGTCAACCTACTTGTTGCCAGTTTTTAAGTTACGTAATACGAGTGCAGTTTTCAAATATTAATAAACAAGAACAAAATGGTCTTAGAATAATGCAAGACTTTTTATGGCATCCTTAATTTAATCAGGCATTTATAATGGAATACGCCATTTGATATATCGGTTAGTAAATGTTTCCGGTCATATGCGCACACACACATGAACTGCGTGATGGAGGACTGTTGTTTTCATTCACTTTCCTTAAAATCCCTACTTCCCTTCCCTAGCAATATTATAAATGAGAAAGTGTCGATGTTTGTTACTCAATCACGCCAAAATTGCTGAACGGATCTGGATGAAATTTAGTACAGGCACACATATATGATAGACTGGAATTTAGTATGGCTATTATCCCGGGAAATAGCTTTGAAATATCTATTTGACGGGCTACAGCCCAAACGGCTTAATAGTATTCCACTTAAGGTGTCTGACCGGGAAGCGTTCAGTCGCTGGTCCGACCACAATGAGTAAGGGTATATAAATAGGGCATTTGCATCGTGCATTTACTGCATTTCAACAAAGAACACGACTTAGCACATAGTAGATACAGAATGTCCGCAAAGTTGGGACTTTCCGTTACACGGCGTATAGACCTTGAGAACATACGTGTTTTTTCCTAGTAGCATATACACCAAAGTCTTAAGATAACTGTCATATTAGGCTCCGCAAAATCAATCATACCTAATCCACTCCTGTATCTCGAGCACATCAAAAGTGAGAAGGCACGACGTAGTTCAGTACTCAACCCAGACGCCAGCAGCGTAAGTAAACAAAACATTTATTTACAAAAAAAAATGGCACACTCGTACAGAAACATCGAACTGGTCAACATAATTGAAATGTATGGTGAGCGTTTTCAAAATGCCACCCCGAGGCTTCACGTGTGCATGCAGTTCACTTTCCCAGACGTTATCGTTCAGAACCACCTAGATTTGTTTACCTGGTGCAAAGAGCAGGGAGACAGGTCGCCTTGCAGGAATGTTGAGGTGGACAGAGTGGAAGACCTTGACAACACCAAATGGTGCAAACTGAAGAAAGGGTATCGAATCTTGTAAAAGAAACTCCTTCAACAAGCACTAGGGAAGTGACTAGACAAGTGCAAGTCTCCAAGACTGAAGCGTGGTAATCGTTAAGTAAATGTGGACTGTACCCTTTTGTACGAGCCCTCCAAGCTAAAGATTTTCCTTCAAGAGTGCGTTTTTGTAAATAGTTGTTGCACTCCATATTCCTTCACGCGTAACGGGGTGAATAACTTCCGAAATAATCAAGTGTGGTTATTGGAAAATCCGCACATTTTCAAAAAACATTTTCTTTGAATATTTTGCCTGGCATGGTGCTTTCATTTTTTTATTTTTCCCAAACGTCTGGATGATTTGCAGCTAGACTTTCTACGAAACAATTTACCAAACGTACTTGAAATTTTTCTGCAAAGGAACAGCGAGTACTTTTTCATTTCTTTTTTTTTTTCGCTACTATTTCACAACACATTAGCTTTGTTATTTAAATTGTAGTTGTATTATACACATAACTTCGCTTCCAAGACCTTGATAACGAAAACACAGTTTCCGTTATATCTTCCTCATTTACCCTTAACTCCGTCACTGGCTTACTCCAGATCATTTCCTTCGGGCATCTGTACGGTGGTAGAACAAAGGCCCAAAGTTAGAAAACAAACCGCACGAAGTAGGAAATGCAGCTCAACGTAATTAAGTAAATGCAATTAATAGTTTCCCTGTAAATACTAGGATGTATGTTTATGTCTATAGTTGGCTGTGTACAAGCCGAGTAAACACATAAATGCCGCCAAGAGGTTGATCTTTAGCAGATGGGTCTTATATAATAAATATAGTACCTGCTTGGGGTTGTAGACATGGTGCTATGTGTTAGGAAAATTTGAGAGAAGGTTCAGCGCGTGAAAATATGAAAAAGAGGTTTTACAGACATAACTCCGGAAATGCTTCATTTGCCACGCCACTCGCGAGGAAAATGAGTTAACATGTTTTTTCTAGGTTATATGACATCTCGAAAAATCACTAATCTCCGTCGGTCTGCCTGTCCTTCCGCGAATTCTTGGCCAGTCTATAACTTGAGAAGTACCACTCGGATTCATATGAAATTTTCACACAAGATTGCTATGCCATGGATGAAGAAAGCTTTTGAAGTTTTTGAAAATCGGTCCACTGGCGACGAAGCAGGGTACAAAACATACAAAGGATGATAAAAAACGCTCAAAATTCGACTTTATTTATATACTGAAGCAGTCGCGTAGGCAAAAACCTAAATACCGGGGTACCGCGATTGCTTAAAGATGCCTTGTTAACCCGATTTTTGAATTGTCCAAGGTTAGCACAACTGCGAAAAACCTCGTCAGGCAGATTGTACCACAATATTCGACACCCCAGGAACAAAGGAGCGGTCGTACCTATCAAGTTCAATAGATGGGAGCCAGAAGCCTTGCTTAGCGTGCAGCGGCATCATTGAGGAGACCTCTGGAATAAAGTTCGTTGACATAGCAGACGTAGCGTTTCCGTAATCCAGGATTTGTCCATATTTGATAAGTTTTCTTATTTTTCTCACAAGTGTTTTCTAGACACATACAGGGCTTTTGAAAAAACTTCTCCCCGTTTATTATTTGAAGGGTACAAGTTAGCAAGTTGGAATCCAAGGTGATCAAATTAATGATCGAATATTTTATTTCAACATGAAAGTAACATTTAAAATTGTCAAGATGTCAGCTGGGCGTCACCTTGAAATGTATTTTGTATCCTCTATGGATTTATTATTTTGGCGTTTCATTTCTCAAGCTGTGGATAGATCTACTCATGCTTAGAAGCTCTGTCTGATTGAAATTGTCAGAATCCTAGTTTTCTACATTTTTGACTCCATCGTGCAGTTCAACATCTAAACGTGCTACTTTCGTTCGTCCGACCAAAGGCAGCCAGCCATCGACAGCTGTTTCGTGCCTTTTGGTAATTTATGAGCATGGTCTAGGCTTGGTCCCCGGGAGAATGAACGAAGTTGTTCGATGGCGTAGACCCCATTACTATACCGCCAGAATCGTCAACCTCTCGCGGTCACAGTAGGCCTTAGCTCCGCCGAAACTGGACCACCCATTTTCAAACACTATAACACCTTTTCGTTCTTGGAACACATTTGAAACTTAGGATTAGCGGACAGATCAAGTGAAAGACAGACAAATCGATGGATATGATTTAAATTGTGTCTCGATTTCAAAATTCGAAAATGCAACGAAAAAGCCAATGCCGTAGATAATATTGTAACGCTCTCGTTAGAAGAACTTTGAGTAGCAAAGAAACACCCTCATCACCATGTATCGAGAAACATCGACCGCTATCCAACAGGCTTCGAAGTAAACTACAGTTCATAAATTTATAATAAATTAGTTACATTTGTTGTAATAAATTAGTGTGAGACTAAAAATTGGATTGTGAATATTAAAAACGCTGTTCTTGTTACAATATTTTTTTCCTTTTAGGGCCAACATTTCCCAGTTTATACGCCACTGTTGAAGTTTCAGGCAAACTTTTTATATGTAATGGTAGCAGTAGTTGGCACTATATGTACAGAATTTTAAGTTGACAACTGGACGCACTTCGAAGATATATTTCTTTATCAGTAATTGAAACTTCAACAACCTTTACCTCGGTAACCGGACATTTTCGGACTCGTGTATAACTCATCGTCTTATCTTTGGACCTACTAAAAACATACATGATTGTCTTTGGCAGAGAGAACACATTTTTGAACAACCCTCGTACATACCCCAAAGGGCACTGTTGGCCTCCCAGAATGTTGTTATAAAGCAAAGACCGCTGACTGCTCGGAAGCTGACTCTCATAAAATCTCCAGTCGGTTCTTTCAACCTGTTCGTTTTATGGATACGTTTATGCCCGATACGGAGCTCTTCAACTATTCTGCAGGTATTTTCGGATTGCCAAGGTAAATGCAGCTCGCTGGAAGATACTATAAAGTTAATGGAAAAGCACCAGGACGACATCACGTCGTCACAGCCCGTGCAAGTTACGACTTACTTCGTGGAATGGCTATCTGAGCTTATCAAAAGATTAAGGTTTACTACAGGTGCATATGCAGCGCTATTTTTCTTATCCACATATTGCATATCTCGAGAAAAATTGTTGTATATTCTTATCACTACATTGGTCCGAAAACCCTAAAACCAAAGTCGTTTCAGGCGGTGTTGTTGGGGCTCAAGCTCTTCTCTAGCCTAATACGTTTTTCCTCATTGAGTACAACAATAGTATTTTTCTTAATAAATCTGTACATATCTATAACTTGAAATATTTAAATCTTATCAAGAGAGAATGAAATGTTGGAACTGATGAAACACCGGAAATGCAAAGAGCGGGAAAGTATTTGCCCATGATCTCCTTGGGTATTTGAGGGTGCTCAGAAGGAAGGCAAAGTGATGCATTATTCAAAAATACGTTTCATAAAGAAAAAAATTAGTGTAATAAAGTTGTGAGGTTTGAAAAGATCTAATTGTGACCATGGACGTGACCTTGAGTATGACCTTTATTTGCAGGAGAAGTTTTCTCAAAATAAAACACCTTTTTTGCCACCGGAAATAAAAAGTTCAAGAATTGTATGTCCAAGTATGTCCATAACCATGACCATCAAGGTTATTTGAATATCAAATGAATTTTCAACGAAAATCAATCAAATAATATCAGTGAATTACACTCCAAGCATAACGCTTATATATATATATATATATATACAGGGTGACTTTGAAGTTGAGTCATTAATTTTCAGATAATGATTGTAGAGGGAAGATAAACCAAAATATGTGTGTAAAAATAAAAAAAAATTTAAAAAAAAATTTTACCTTGTTTTGTAAAGTATCCTCCCGACAAGTATTTCAGTGCGGACCTGTATTTGATCGTGAGGTCTTGGAGCACCGGCATGCCCGGCATGCCCTCCCCTGTGAGGTCTTAAGTCACCTGATTCACGAGCCCGTTGTACTACGTTAACAAAGGACGAGGGGTTGGTTGCACTCGATTGGGAAACCGATCCACATAAACATGTGCCATTTTTTATTTCGTTTGAGCAACGCAGCAAACACCACTATTCACTCACGCGTTACCGACTGACATTGACTGAATAAAAACATCGTGATCAGCGTTTCAAATTCTTTCGCTTTTTTGTTTCCGATGCGATGAACCGATAAGGCGGATTATATCCGTTGTTTCCAAACACGAGCACATAATATTATTATTGAGACAGGGCGGTACTCAAACTTCTAAAGGGCAATAACTTTGTTACTTTGATTTTACCACAAAAATGTTAAAGGAAAAAAACATTTCTTTTGATCAGATCTACTCACTGTTAAAATAAATGAGTCACCCTGTATATATATATATATATAGTACTCAAAGATGAGACTATACACGGCATATAGATCTTGGAAGAATAAAATAAATCATACTTAAATAAAACTTAATCCGTTCCTGCATCTCGATCAGATCAAACCTGAACACGTTCGATGCGTATCAGTACTCAATCCAGACGCTGACCTCGTTTGTATACAAAACCTTTACACATCGGTTCCAAAAAAAGAATGGCACAGCAATATGGGAGTTGTTCATATTATTTTAACTTACAGTGTCTAAGAAATGCTACCGAAGCTTCTCGAGTGCATGCAGATCATTTTTAAAGATCCTTCGTGATTTATTTTTCTGTTTGTGTCGAAATGGAACGTTTAATGTATAAAACTGAAGTGAACATGATTGACGAACTACTTGTGCGAATTTAGCAATCTGCTGCATTCATTTGGAAAGGGTGGTCCGTTCTAAATGCATACACGGATGCTTGGCTAAGTCGAGCACATACATATGTCTGTGAATCTATCGTACACAACTTTGAACAATACTTACAAGTGACAGAGCTGTACTTCGAATTTCTTTTTGATCAACGGTACTTTTTCATTATTTTTTTTTACTTTTCCGCTGTTATTACATCGCATATTAGCTTTGTTATTACAAACGTAGTTGTTTCTGAAAATATCGTGCCCACCACTTATATACATATAATTATGAATAATTTCATGGGGCACGGCGCATTCGACCGATAGGTGATGCGTCTGCTGAAAACATTTTTCTAAGTTGTAAGCGCAAAGGTACGCAGATATCTATGAGGTATGAAATATATCTTACATAATAGGTGCGTAGAATTACCGGGCCTAGAAGTGTGTTAGTGTACTAATATCGGAAAATGCGATTGACCCTCTCACACTTTTCATACATTGCTCCACCCCCGATTTTTTTCCCCTAATTCTTTTTCAATAATGATCAGGATCAGTGAAATTTGAGGTGTTTTTATTTGTATTTTTTGCCTGTAGGGCCTCCTCCATTGAAAAGAAAAAACTACCACGCTTTTTTGTTCTTGGCATAATAGTGTCCTTGTGTGAAAATTTCATCAAAATCCAACTGGTACTTTTCAAGTTATAAGGGGTCGAAGGATTAGCAGACAGACAGACCGACGGAAAAGAGTAACATGGTTTTCATGTACATGTCATATAACATCCAAAAAAGATAATATCTCATGTTCAAAAATGTTTGCGATTACAATACTTCCCCTCTAGCCGAGAAAATGGAGTATGGATGAGAGAAATGAATGTGGACACCCTGCTGAGCCCCTCCAGATCTCTTATCTGAATACGCCGCTGCCTAAGCGACACTATCAGCTCAGGCACTATTGAAACGGCACTCTTACAAGATGGAAAAGTACCTGTCCATGATTTGACAAAATATCTTCCAAGACAATTTGATCAATTTCTTTCTTACCCATGATTATATCTCAGAAAATCCAGTTTAGTATGCAAATAAAATTCATGAATCTTATTTCCTCCGACCTGGAGAAATTCCAATCTAATTTTCTCTGGAAAAAGGAGCAAGCATGGCAAAGTTTAACCTTATCCAAGCTACCCTTGTTACGCGTTCTGATGTTTTCGGGTTGCAGATGTTCTTACATCAGATTAGACTTCCAAAACAGCGCCTCCGGCGCTTCTCTACTTCAGGGGGTATTTTGCAGCATTGTCGATGCTTATGGGAAGTAGGAGATCTTAGGACTTTCTTGGTCACTCACATTTTGTGATCTGAATGCGTTAAGTAACGAGTGATTCATTTACACGTTTGTTAAGAACGAATAAATATAAAAATAATAATCTTTACCTATCCGGTTACCTTTATTATCAAAGCGAAGAAGCCTTGTTGATATTCACTTTTAGAGGATTAATTTGTTGAAATGTCGACTGTAACTGCGGCCAATGTAGTTTATATTCCATGATAACGAGTGGTATTTGGTGACCGCTATCGCGCTAAGATAACACACTCTTGTATCAAATACTGAAATCCGGTATTCGAATACGAATCCTGAATACTGTATTTTAAATTGTATTCGAATACTCAAGACTCGGATACAAAGAAAATTTTCGAATGCCGTTGTATTAAATACCTGGATTCATTCAAAAATGAATAAATACTTTTTGAATATTCTAAATAAAACCTTGTTTTTATGTATCAGCTTAAGTTATAAAAATATATAACAAAATTAAAAATACACGACTATATCAGATAAAACTTAAAATAGCATTTTGAATTACAGTGTCACAGTGATATTAGACAAATTAGTTGTATAATGAAAACGTTCTTCAGATTTTTATAGAACATTAATAGAATAAAACTTAATAAGAAAATATATGTATTTTACACACTGTACATACATAATTAAAAAATATACTTACCTTTATATATATACAACTATATGTGGTGTCACACAAATTATAACGGGTAGTAAAATTTATTATAAAATAGAATAGGAATATTGCATAACCAGAAGTGTACACTTAATCTAATGTTATTAATATTTCCCTAGCAGTACGTTACATTATATATTACTCAATATGGTTGTTGATGCTAGAACTTATCGACGAGACCTCGTATCCGCAACCTGTGTTTGTATGTGGAATGTTGGATGTCAATAGTACGGAGCGAGGGATATTTGTTGAGTCGGTGAAGAATTAGACGTAGTATTAATTTAGACGTAGTATTGAGAGAATGTAATTTCGGAATATATTGGAATAATTCGGAATACCCGTGTTTTCTTACACTAATGTCGTTCCTTAGGCGACCTACCTATTTTGTTCCTGCCATCCACAACCACCGATAACGTGTTTTAACGCTTAAGTTCCGTAAAGAGTGCTGCAACATTCATAAGAATATCCAAACAGTATTTCATTTCAGGATTAGAATACCGGGATTTGAATACAAACTGGGTATTTGAATATTGGGATTCAGAAACGGTATTCATAATTCAGAATACCGAGTACTGACCCAGAAGGTATGCAGTCGAATACCAAATACTAAACACAAGTATATTCGAATAGTATTCGAATACCAGCCAAATGTATTCTGAATAGGACTCAAAATACAAAGTATTCAAATACTACTCAAGTGTAAACACAGTTCAATTCAGAATCAAATAAGTAGTAACACATCGACAAACAATGGATAAAAATAAATAAATTTGATAATCTTGAAGGCATCAAATTATTGAAAATTTTGGATATAATGTTTGAAAATAAATGTTTAAAAGCCAGGAGAGATCCTTAGAGAAGTCCCCTTAGGCGCAGTTTCACTATTGGCCCGCGGTATCCAAATTTTCTCCTAGAGAGTATATTCAACTAACCAGATACACCCTAAGAAAACCTCCTGCTGGCGCTCAACATGACCAATATCTGAGAAAATAATGTTCAAGAAAATAATGTCATGTTAACAGTTAATGAAGATAAAACCAAATAAGTGTGTCTCAATAGAAAAACAAGAAGATAAACTATACGGAAAAATGCATCAGTAGACTCCTATAACTTTGAGAGAGTTGAGCGTTTCATGTACCTTTGCAC